CCCCCCCTCCCCGAAATCCGATCCGATCTGCTTTTGCTTTTGCCCTTCGGTTTGTGCTGTGGGCGTGCCGTACCTCGTCATGCTTGCAACTTGGCATCATGAATGTCTCCTTTCGAAGCATTTGGTGCGCCGAGGATGAAATGATCTACCAAGAACTTTGTACAGGCGGGTGTTGAGGGGCTGATCAGACCATCACTGTCATCCTGAATGCCACCGCTACAAGCACGTACGAAGCGCTTGACCGTGCTTTCGTAGCCACGCACCACTCACGATGGAGGACAAGATGGGAGCAGGGCCGATGGAAGGAAAGGGAAGAGGAGAAGGAGGAGATGATAGAAGCGCTTGGAAGACAAGAGATTCCGAGGAGACGGTGTTTCGGAGAACAGAGAAATGATGATAAACGGAACGGTCAGTCGGGAAAGATTTCACGAAGGATGCGCTGCTCCATTACAACGAGTGTCGTCAGGGAGTGGCAAGACAAGAGGGTAAAGAAAGACCTACGAGCCTCTTGCTCAAATTTCACACTCTGCCTCCTGCTCGTCGTCCGCACCAGTCCCTTTCTAACGACACGACTACTGGCTGTATGGATCTTCATCCGTCCAGTCTCACTCTTTCAACTTGGAGATGTTTCCTACTATTCATTGCATTGCCTACCCTCACGCAAGCCTGTACCGTGCAGAGCATTCCATTTCTGTTCGATCCAGAATCGATCAGCCAAAAGGAGCGCAATGAGCCGACAACAATGTAAACCTTCGCCATCGATCTGCGCCAGGCCGAGATCCTAGCAAGCTGCTTTTGTCTCGCTCAATTTTTTTTTTTTTTTTTTTTTTTTTTTTTTTTTTTTTTTTTTTTTTTTTTTTTTTTTTTTTCCCAGTGCTTTTGAAATGTCTTCTCATGGTTTCTCGCTCAATCGAGCTGTGGCCTCGAAGTCGTACGTGCGCCCTTCAACGGTTAATCGAGTGGTTGGACGAAGAGCTATACTGCGCAGCTTCACACATATACTCCCTTGCATTTAAGCGACTGAGAGGTTGGTCGTATTGCGCGCAACGTGAATGTGCAAAATGTGACGTGTGACATCTATGATTCGAGGCGATGCTTGCGGGGATGTACAAAGGCCCACCAACTCTTTTGCGTGTAAGCCTCTTGCTTCTGAATGTCTATTGATGAGCGCACTGAGCACCTCCAGGTGCACCGTCCGCTTCCTCATCCTCCCAATCCTCTTCTTGCCCCGGCACCTCGTTTCTTCCAAACTGCGCGAGGGATGATACGAGTCCAGGGGGTCAACAATGTGCCAAGAAGGGCGAAAGATTGGACAAGATAGGCAAGAGAAAATGTCCGACGCACCTCTTCCAACGACGCCTTTTCCAGCTCGATGTGTTCCACTAGCGCAGAGGTATCGCTGATCGGATCGGGCCGTTTAGCAGGCAATAGGTGAGCCAATTTCTGCAAAGAGGCAACGGTACAAAGATGAGCCTGCCTGGAACAAAGCGCGAGCTTGAAAAAGTGGGGAATCGGCGCAGGATGGCCAACGCACCAAGCCGTCTATATCGGACAAGAAATCGTCTGGCGGAAAGTCCACCTCCCACTGTGCGAGAGCGGCCACGAGGCATGGACAGGTATCAGCCAGCCAGCTAGCGCAATCGCGTTGCTGCTCAAGAGGGGGCGCGCGCGCGCGGATACGCACAGTAATGTACAAATCTCCCCTCTCTCCTCTATCTCCCTCTCTCATCATACCTTCTCCCACCACCCTCTGCGTTTCGCCCGGTCTGACAATCTTCCCGCTCTTGCTCTTCCATTTCAAATGTCGACCGTCTAGATGCGTCAAGATGGTGCGCTCGAAGCCTAACAGCGATTCGGAGAGGGTGATGTGACACTTTGTGTGCAGGTCTAGACCGCGAATCTCGAACGAGGTGTGAGGCTGCAGTTGGAGCGTGAAGATCAGATCGCCCGCTTCTGGTACGCCAGGCTGATATTCGGCGGGCGCGGCGTGAAGGGCAGCGATAGGATCAGCACGTGTGAAGAGCATCCCCGTCGCAAATCTCTCTCTTTCTCTCTCACTCTCTCGTGCGCGCGCGCGCAAAAACTCACAATCTGGTCATTCTCGCCTTTGAACACGATTCGCTGTCCATGATGCATTCCCCTTTCGATGATCAGATCCAACTTTTTCTTCTCCTTGACCACCTTCTCCCCCTTGCACTTTCTACACCTGTCCTTTTCCCTCGTCTTTCTACCCTCACCACTGCAGGCATCGCACTCTCCCCAGCTCTGCGCCACCATTCCTCCACCCACGCTCCTCAACTTCTGCACTTTGCCCTTGCCCGAACATTTTGCGCACGTGCTTCGTTGCGCGCCTGGACGAGCTCCGCTTGCGCTGCACGCCGCACAGAGAATGTTGCGCTGAAGGTTGAAATGCGCTACCCTGCCCCTGTACAGATCTTCTAGCGTGACGGAATACGGGATGCTGCTCGACTCTCCCTTTTGAGGTCGACGATGCGGTGGGGGGCCACCACCGCCGCTGCCCATGCCCATGCCCATACCGCCACCAAACATGGACGCTGTGGACATGCACGTGCGCATGCGCATGCGGCAAGAGCCAGTCGAAGTGATTAACATATGTTTCCCCCTTTTCTCATTGTGCATCTGGGAGCCCCGGAGCCAACTCACCAAAGATGTCATCCATGTCCATACCGTCCATGCCATACCCCTGCGCACCGGCACCGCTGCTCCCTCCTGCCAGTCCATCCAATCCAAAGCGATCATACATCTCCCTGCTACCCTCATCGCTCAACGTCTCGTAAGCTTGAGAAATTTCTTGAAATCGAGCAGATGCGCCGATGGGATCATCGGGATTCTTGTCGGGATGATGGGTGAGGGAGAGCTTCTTGTAAGCGCTTTTGAGCTCGCTTGGGGTTGCGGATGGGGAGACGCCTAGAAGGTCGTAGTAGGTCGTGTCGACTGGCATGCTGAGGCGACGTGGGGTGTGGGATGTGGGATGTGGGATGTGGGATGTGGGATGTGGGGTGTGCGGTGCGTGAGTGATGTAGAGCGAGGTGAGGGGAGGTGAGGTGAGAGCGAGAGCACAGATACAACACACGATGCTGGTGGTGCATCACCGCATTCAAGATTCACGATTGCAGGACACACGACACCTCACCCTCCCTCCTTGTCGTGCAAGTCTAAGTGAAGTCGCAGCCACACATTTGAGTCACGTCTTGAGTCAAATCTTGATGAGTCCGCTGCATCAATTCAACTTTTTAAAGTCACGTGCAATGGTCATCAGAATTTTGGTGGAGGCCTATGTGCCTGCGCCCTGTATTTTGATTTACATGTTCCGTCCGCGCTGCATCTTCTCGTGTCGTGCGAGAGCAATCCAGACTGCTGAATGCACGCACGTGATGTAGAAATTTCAAGTTTTTGGGTTCTGCAGAATTTGAAAGAGGGTCTACTGCGACTGCACGCGCTCTGGACTCACACTCACACTCTTGACTTTCCTTGCAGCGCAAGCTGTGCACCACACCTCGAGTCGCCCCATTCATCCTTGGCTTCACACAAGCTCCCAACGACATGCAGTCAGTCACCACATCCACGAGTCTAGGATTGCCGCACTTGCTCTGACTCTGACTCTGACTCTGACTCTGACTCTGACTCTGACTCTGACTCCGACTCGCAAGGCGCTCACACGCTCACACACTGATCGCCTCAGGATGAGGAAGCAATTGGATCCGCGAATAGCGGCGCTGATCCGATCCGGCATCCACACCTCTCACCGATCCTTCATCGTGCTCGTGGGAGATCATTCGCGCGATCAAATCGTCAATCTGCATTTCCTGCTCTCTCAATCGCGCACCACTGCGCGTCCATCGGTGTTGTGGTGCTACAAGTCCGACTTGGGCTTCACCACGCATCGCAAGAAGCGGGAGGCCAAGATCAAGCGGGACATTCAGAGGGGTATCAGGGACAAGGATGCGAACAGCATGACGCCCTTCGAATTGTTCATCGGAGTGACAGAGATACGTTACTGCTACTACAAGGAGACGGAAAAGATTTTGGGAAACACTTTTGGAATGCTCGTCTTGCAGGACTTTGAAGCTGTCACGCCCAACATCCTCGCTAGGACCATAGAGACGGTCGAAGGCGGAGGCGTAGTGGTGCTCATGCTCAAGACGATGACCAGTCTGAGACAGCTGTATGGGGCCGCCATGGTGAGTGGGCGTGGGTGCGTGGGCGGGCAGCGTGTGACTCATGCTCACCCACTTCTCGCTCCCCATGACAGGATGTGCACAAATCCTATCGCTCCTCCTTCGATTCGGCCGAGCCCGTAGCTCGCTTCAATGAGCGCTTTTTGCTCTCCCTAGCAGCTTGCAACAGGGCTCTGTTCTTGGATGACGAGCTCAACGTCTTGCCAGTGTCCAGAGGGAAAGACATTTCCATCGAAGCTTCCTCAACCGCACCTGGTGCGCACAAGAGCAAATCGGAGCAGGAGCTCGAGTGGATCAAGGCGGAGACCAAGAGCACGCCTGTTGTTGGAGATGTGGTTCGGCATTGCAAGACGCGAGATCAGGTGAGCGTGTGGCGAGCGGCTGCAGTGCGCAGTTGAAGCGCGACTCAACTCACCCCGGCCCACGCCCACGCCCACGCCCATGCACCATCACAGGCAAAAGTCGTCTTGACCATTCTGGACATTTTGAGCAGCTCAAAGCTCTCCACAACCGTCGCATTGACCGCTGGTAGAGGACGCGGCAAATCGGCCGCTCTGGGCTTGTGCATAGCGGCTGCGGTGGTGCACGGCTACTCTAACATCTTTGTCACCTCGCCAGCTCCATCCAATCTCAGGACGCTGTTTGAATTCCTCTTCAAGGGCTTGGCAGCGTTGGGCTACGAAGAAGTGTCGGATTGGTCCGTACAAAAGGGAGTGAAGGAGTTCAAGGATCACGTCGTTCGCGTCAATATCTTCAAGAATCATAGGCAGACTATTCAGTACATCGATCCCAACGACGACAATACGCTCGGACAGGCGGAATTGGTGGTGGTTGATGAGGCGGCTGCTATTCCTCTACCGGTCCTCAGACGCCTGCTAGGCCCGTACCTCGTCTTTCTTTCTAGCACTATCAACGGCTACGAAGGAACGGGCAGGAGCCTGAGCTTGAAGCTATTGCAGCAATTACGAGGCGGTGGGAATGCGCACCAAGATCAAGATACTGATGCGGCCGCACTGGTTCGCAACAGCTCCAAAGATGCATCTTCCAGAATCACGGGCAAAGCTTTGAGCGCTGAAGGAGCTGCCGGCATGTCGACGATTCGATCGCTGAAAGAGGTGCAGCTAAACGAACCCATTCGGTACGCTGGTGGCGATGCGGTGGAGAGATGGCTGCACGAGCTGCTTTGTCTAGACGCATCTTTGACGCCTCTGAGCGCTCATAGCTCGCCTCATCCTTCGTCGTGCCAGCTCTATGGAGTCAATAGGGACGCCCTTTTTTCTTATCACGCGGCTTCCGAAGTCTTTTTGCAGCGCATCATGGCGCTCTACGTCGCTGCGCACTACAAGAACAGCCCCAACGACTTGCAACTCATGTCGGACGCTCCTGCACATCGTTTGTTCGTGCTACTCGGTCCGTCGGACAAGACGCAGCAGCAGCAATTGCCCGAACCGCTGGCTGTGATGCAGGTTGCGCTCGAGGGAAACATTTCCAACGAGATCATCATGAGGAGCTTGGCTAGGGGACAGAGGGAAGCGGGAGATCTGATTCCTTGGTTGATCGCGCAGCAATACCAAGATGACGAATTTGCGAGGCTATCGGGAGCTAGGATCGTACGGATTGCGGTGCACCCCGAACATGCCGGGGCAGGCTACGGCACGCGAGCTGTCGAGCTGCTGCGAGAATTTTACAAGGGCGGACTGCTGGATGCGGATGCGCTGGCTAGGAGGCAAGCGAATGCGAGCGCGCAAGCACGAGAGGAAGAGACGTTCGAAAAGGTTCGCGATGATGCGCTTCTGCGCGCAAAGGACGCGTCGATATCGATCAGGGATGCGCACCGCATGCCTGCGCTCCTGGAAAGGCTGGAAGAGAGAAGACCGGAAAGGTTGGACTGGATCGGCGTTTCTTTTGGCCACACGCCTGCGCTGTTTAGATTCTGGAAGAGGCTGGGTTACGTTCCGCTCTATGTGCGCCAACAAGCGTCGGAATTGACGGGGGAACATTCGACGTTGATGCTGCGCGGCTTGGAGGTGCAGCAGCAGCAAGAGGGCCAAGTGCAGCAGGAACAAGGACCGGAATGGCTCAGCGCTTTTGCTAGCGACTTTGTTCGACGTTTCATCAGCCTCTTGGCTGGACGTTTCAGGGTGCTGGATTGCGTACCGGCGTTGGCTGTTTTGGAAGCGGCTAGCAGCGCGTCGAACGACTCGAAAGCGGAGCGACTCACCCTGCAAGAGCTTCGAGTGCATTTCTCGCCCTTTGATATCAAGAGGCTAGAGGCGTACAGCAATTCGATGATCGAACTGCCCACCGTTCTGGACCTCTTGCCCGCTCTCGCCTCGCTCTACTTTACGCGCAGGTTGCAGGCCGTTGCGGAAGGCATTGGGAGCGAAGAGGGGCCGAAAGGAGAAGAGACGACGACGCGAATGGAGACGAAGATGTTGGAATTGGGAGCGCTGCAGAGCAGCTTGCTCTTGGCCGTGGCGCTGCAGAAAAAGGACCTGGAGGAGCTTCAGAGCGAGATTGGATTGATGAAGAATCAGACGAACGCTTTGATGCTCAAGGCTGTCAGGAAGATGCTGGGCTCTGTCAAGATGGTGGAGGAGCATGAGGTGGCCAGAAAGATGGGACTGAGAGCATTGCAGAGTGGAAAGGGCGCCAATGGGGCGTTTGAACCTCTGCGACGGGATGTGCAGCAGGACCTCGAGGATGGCGATCAGACGGGCGACGATGATGAGGGAGAGGAGGAGGAGGAGGAGGAGGAGGAGGAGGAGGAGGAGGAGGAACCTGCGCAGAGCGCTCTGGATCGCAAGGAATTTGCAGCCAAGCAGGCGCTACCCCGAGCGTTGGAAAAGTACGCCATTGATAAAGAGGGGCGCGATTGGACGGATGCGGAAGCTCAAGTTCAACGCGCCGTTGCGCTCGGGACGAGTGCGAGCGCGAGCACGACGGAGCAGGGAAGAAGCGGTAAGGCGCAGACGATCGTCAGCGTCAAGGGCGCGCCTGCGCCCGCTTCTTCGTCGTACCCTGGAAAAGAGCAGCGCAGCAACGGTGGCAAGAAGAGGAGAGAAGACAATGGTGGAGACAAGAAGTCCAAAAGGACAAAGAGGAGATAGCGCTTTCTAAGGAGATGCGGTCCTCGCTCCACTTCGCCCCTTTTTAGATCTTCCCAAATTCCAAAACCCATTCTTGATTCCCTTGGCTGTGCTGCACGGGGGCAAATACCATCATGTAATTCGTACGAGAAGCGATGCGACGGCTATGTTGTCACTCCCCCCCCCC